CTCATATTCTATCATTATTTAGCCGTAATGTAAGAATTACAAAAGAGATTGAAAATTGCAAGCTTATGCTCTTATTCAAAATTGAACTACCACAAAACCAATTTGAGTTGTTGAGTTTCTTGCATCGGCCTAGCTAGGCAATAAAATGGTAATTAATATTTTGGCTCTAGGCATAATTTTTTTTATTAAATACTACCAGTGGTAGTGGGTTGAAGATTAATAAAAAATATGAATAGATTTGGTATTATTTATACGCAAGCTATACAACTGAGTTTCACACCATCACATTTTCCTATATAGGAAGAAAGGAAGAACCTATGTAATCATTCATGTAAAATACACACTTGAGAAAAAACAAAAATAAATTACAAAGAAGTTGCAATTAAAATTTTTTTTTTCTGAATATGTTTGCATAATAATTTTTCGAAAAAGATATGTGCACAAAAAAATTGCGTAAAAATTTAATTGTTGCTCCATATTCAAATCTTGTATGGTGGGTACCACTTCTAAAATGAATCCAACACACACATTAATGTTTTGTGCATTTATTCTTTTCATGTAGTATTGCTCTAATTTTCTGCATTTATTCTATGCATGTCGCATTGCTCAAAATTTTCTCACTTGTATTTTGCTACTCATAGGCTTATGTAATTTTTAACTAAGGTGAGAGAAAACTAAAGTACTACTATCCTTTTCTTTTCTTTTTGTTTTATGCTTTCTTCATTTTGGTGCTCCCCAATACAAAATTTGGATATCCATGCCCAATGTGTTGCTTTAAGTTTCATACCTAAGAGCATTTCCAAAGGTGTAGAAAATTTTCTTTTTAGGAGTTATTTATCACAGTAAAAGTGCACTAAACAAATTTGTTATGAGTTGCTCCACTCATTAGTATTTATTATGCTAAAATAGCACAAGTGCTCAAGCAGTGTAATATTGTTATTGTATTTGTAACTTGTTTTTCACTATCTATCAACCACCATTCACTAACTACTAATTTAAGTCAAAGTCAAAAAATAAATGAAAATTGCATAAAAAAAAAACATAATCATGGAAAATCTAAACGAGCTCTCATGAAAATTGGAGTTTGTTGATTATGATATTATTTTAACATAAATCTCATTTTTACTTGATTGATAAGATAATAATTGAATGAATACATAAACCTTAAAAATTAAGAAAACGTCAGATAGAATGATGAAATATCATTGAATAGATATGTTCGGACTTGTTAAATAATTTATACTTAATTATAGGCGGCCACAATCATAACGAGTATGACCGAGTCTCTCACGAAAGAAGATGACCATCAAGACGAAGCATAGAAGTTTCAACACTATAGACAAAGTTTCTAGAAGCATCCAACAGCATATGTTTTCGTGGAAATCTGCACCAATCTCATCATTCGCTCCTCAATGTACTGATCAAGTGCCACTTCTTGTAACGCCCTGTATTTTATTACTCGGATAACCTTACTAATATTCATTAATTAAGTCCATTTACAAATAACATTTCATCCTTGGATGAAATGAAAAATAATTAAATATTCATATTTTCTCTCGTTATACAACAATGACATTTACATACAAATAAAAGAAATACCCTGAGGCTTACAATAAAATAGAGGGCACTACTCTTTATAAAAAAAATAGCACTCAGCCAAATAACAAATGAAGTAGTATAATCCATCACTACATTACACTTATGAAATGGTAAAACCCATTGTTTGATCTTCAAATCCGAAAAGCATTCCCTGTACACATGTACAGGCAGGGGGTGAGCAACCACTAGCTCACCAAACAATCCCATATTAAACCATTAGAAGATATGCGGGTACCAAAACACTCGTATATATACGTGAATTCATATCATGTCAAAATCATTTGATTTTATTACATAATCTCTTAAATCCAATTTATTTAATTAACCACAACAAGTTAACTTAAGTAAATAAACATGTTTCAATAGCAACAGGACATCCTTTTCAATTCATTCAATTATATCATTACCAATTGAATCAAATAATTAAACAATTCATCAAATCCATTTTATACGGTTTTATGAGATGAATGCATATGCTATGTCATGCTCAAAATATTTTTCTCATCTTTTGAAAATCTTACGCACAATGCCATTTTGAAAACACATTAATCCAACAATTTCAACAAAATTCCAAGATGGTAAATACGACTTAGGTAATCCCTAGGCTAGTGTCTGCAAGTAGACTAAACAAATACTACCAATTTGTCATTTTTACAAGCATTAACTAGAAGGCTCGACATCTATAGTCTGTCATTTTTACCAATATTAACTGGAAGGTTCGACACCTATCATCTACACCACCTTTCAAGACTTACCACCGTATTTAACCCAAAATCAATTCATGAAAACTTGTTTCCCAATATTCCTTTCTCAATGCAAAATTTTCAAATCAAATTTCAAAGCTCATCATTATCAAATGAATTGATATGCCAATGTAATGATTAATAATACAATGCAATATTTCTTCCACTTTTAATACTTCCACACAATATTCCCATTGTGATCAAAATTCTCATTCCTTATTTCAATATAATTTCATAAGATGAATATAAATACTTTTATTCTAATTCATGCATGGGACAACAATATTCTCACACTTAGAGTAATGTCAACCATTTAGTCACTTCAAGACTATATCAACATTTTGAACAACAATTTCAAAATTTCAACAATTCTCATATTCCATGAAAACCATCATTTATGTGTAAACAAATAAACAATTTTTCAAACATCATTTATTTTAGCACACAAAATAAATATAACAACATCTTCAAAGATTGTCAACATCTACCTCCAATCTCTAGATTTTCTCACCAAAACCACTCATCTTCATTTATTGAAAGAAAGTCACCAAAAACATCTCTCTTCAATCCTCATAGTTCAAAACCCTCAATTTCTATTTTAAAAGGGATAAGAAAGTAAACCCACTTTCAAAAAAATCTCTCATCTTTTTGAATCAACAATCAATTTTCAAAACAAATCAAATGATGATTTTCAAAATCATCTAAATCTTGCAAAAATATATATATAAATTGAATATTACCATTTCTATCATACGATGTCAAAAGTTATGATATAATCTTAATAACACACTTTTAACCATAACGGATATAACATTTTAACCAAAACTAATTTAATCCACTAAATTAGTAAGTTTATTAAATTCAAAAAATTTCAAATTAATAATACCAAACCTAATTTCACATACCTCATCCCTCAAACATAACTATATTTTAACATAATCATTTTTCATGCCAAGCTATTTAAAGAGGTAATATTGTTTTCAAATTCTCTACCAATAACAATTTCACAACTTTTTTTAAAATTACTTAACCAACATAATATTTACATCAAAAATTATGAAATATGCCCAATAGTAACAATTTCAAGGTTATGAGTTTGAAAGTCCACATTTCACAATTTTATTTTCATAAAAATAAACACAACTTAATCATCAACATATCATCTTTTATAACATATCATGAATATAACACTTTCAGAGTTTTTAATCCAAAAGCAACTCTATAATTCCTACTTAAGCATTTACTCCATATTCCTCAACATTAATTTATTTTTCTCAAAAATAAATTCCAAATCAAAGATAAAAAAAATTCAACTTTATATTTCTTAAAATAAATCATCTAATCATAATATGATGTAGAGACAATCCATACAACTATTAAATTTTATTTTCGGATTTCTTTGCAAAATTATCAACACAAAATGATTTTCCCAAATCAATCTCAAAAAACCAACATTCTTAACATTTCAACATAATTTTTCTTCCAAAAATTATCAAACAAAAATATGAATATATATATATATGCAATACCTCTTATAATGATATATTTTCTCAAAATAACCCTAACATAATATTAATGTAAAAATATGAAGAAAGTCCATACCTCAAATAATGAAGAAAAGCAATCAGGAAGGCAGACATCGCCCGATCATGAATCCAAGACTGCCATCGCAAAGAGTACGACGAGCTCTCCAACTTTCATTTACAAAATTTTTACAAAATTTCACTCTAAGGACTCCCACTCTAAGCTCAAAGCTTGAGCAACAATGGAGGGGAGAGAGAGAGAGAGAGAGAGAAAGAGAGGGGACGGGCAGAGAGGGAGAGAGCAAGAGCTCTCTGCTCCAAACCCCAAAAGAAAATGAATGGGAAAGGAAAATGATGGGCAAGGCAAAAAGAGGAAACAACCCCATGTGGGTTTGCTTTCCCAAAAGTGGGTTTTTCAAAAAAAATAATTTTTTGTAATAATATCTTAAAATTTTATAATATAAATTATAAAATGATATAATTTTTCTCACCACAAAATATAATATTTTTGTATACCACAAACTATAATATTTTGCTCACCACAAAATATATACTCATTTTATTCACTATAAAAATATTTAATTTTTCACCATATGACACACACCATAAAATCAACTTTCAAATATTTATTATAGTCCTGTATAATAAATAATAATAACTCCAAATGTGGTTATTACCAATCACATTATTAAAAATGACCAAATAATTAAACATGAATCATAAGCAAATTCAAATTAAATTAAATCTAAATCATGGGTCTTGAATTAAATTCTCACCCATAAGCCAAATATAACCCAATTATATACCAAAATAGACTCAACAAACTTTATCTTAAGTCACGGTCTAAACATTCAAAATTTAATAACAAAATTCTGGTATGAATTAAAGTGAACACCAATTAGTCCGTGAATTTTCATAAAATAAATACTTATCATTTAATTCTAAAATTTTTATCCAACATGCTAGACTCATATGGGAACAACATATAAAAATTTCATAATTTTATGAGATCGAAAACTATTTTTAAAAAATACAAAACTGAATTATTTTTGCACAAAATTTACACAGTAATCAAATTCAAAAATTTTCTCAATTAAATTATGCATTGGCTATTTAAAAAAAAAAAATTGGGTGATTACACTTCGGCTCTCCTTTGTGTTGCTAAGCATCTAGCCAAAACGATAGCGTCTTCCAATGCAGTTGAGCCTCCTTGTCCGAGAAATGGGGCCATTACGTGCATGGCATCTCCAGCAATGGTCACTATTCCTTTTCTAAGCCTCGTATTTGGTAATTCCCATGGCGCTTGATATTGAGTGCCATTAAAAGTCAGTGAATCTACGTCACAGTTCTGTATCATCTCTAACATTTCTCTTGGAAATCCCTTACTGATTCTAGTGCTGACGATATGATTTTTGATGTATCTTTTGAAATTGTTAAATCTGCATATATATATCATCAATATTAGTAATGTTACAAACTTATAATTTTTTTCAAAAATACAAATGTGTGACTTAAATTCTTCATATACGTAAACTATATACTAGCTAAATTTTAATCACAAATATAGAAATTCTAGATTAACATATCATAAATGTACAAAAGTATTGGGACAACCAAAACAATAGATCTCTAATGATCTTTTTCTTTCTTCTTCTTCTTCTTTTTTTAATATACAGGAATAATTTAATAGTTATATTATATTTATGATATTTTGTTTATCACTTAATGTGAAATACTCACAATGATTCAATATTAATGAGATTCACCTAAGATTTCTTGAACATTTTCAAGATTGGGAGAATTACTTCCTAGTTGGACAAAAAAAAAAAAAAAAAAAAAAAAAAAAAAAAAAAAAAAAAAAACCTAAACATGGCTTGCACCCTCACAATTTTTCACTTGCACCCATCACATAATCATGTGCATCACCAATGTTTTTGTAATTTTTTTTTTTTGTGTCCCACTTTTAAGTAATTTTCCCTCCAACATTTGGAGAAAACATATTGACTTTTACTTTAATACATAATTGAGGTGTCATTTGATAATTTCATATTTTAGTCATCCAAAAGTAAAAAAAATAATAATAATAAAAGTCAAAAAAAAAATCAACTCATACAAAAAAGTCAAAAATCTTTTCTCTTTAACTCTACTTTTCGCATTTTTTTTATAATAAAAAGTAAAAAAAAAATCATTCTCAACTTATATTTTTGCCAATAAGACAAAATAATTAAAAAAGCAACTTCTCAAACAACCTCTAAATTGACATGTACAAAGAATCAAATTTATGATTTTTCTTTTTGTTCATATGTTAAATTTAAAAGTCTAATTATCCAATAGCAAATTGATCCAAAAAAATAAATAAATAATTGAGATTTAAACTGTATATTGTAAAGTCATATATAAATTAAATCTAAACTGCACATTTATAATTTTAAATAAACCAAAAAACAAGTAAGATATTACCTTGAGGTGTGATTGATTGGACGGGTAACAAACCAGAATACAAGGTTGTGATCGAGGGGGAATCTTCCAAGCATAACATGGCCTTTGTTGATGGTAACAAATTCAGGGCTAAATCCATGTCCATTTTTGTAATTTGCGAAACCCCTCGCTCTGCCCATTGTTGACTGCTTTGGAGGTTTTAATCCAATGAAATTCGCAATCACAGAGTTTACTCCATCACATCCTATCATTATTAGAGATGGCAATGGATAAATTACTCTGTGAGTATTATAGAGACTAAACTCAAATATATGAATTTTTTTTCTTTTTTCTTATTCGTCGGGTAGAGTAAGTGATGCTCTTTAAATCTCCACTAGAGATAGGGTGGGAATGGGTACCCACTAATTTCCCCATATGTTTTTTTTTTTTTTAGGTACATCAAAAAATTATTTCTCCATATGTTTTCACTAGGGATGGCAATGGGGGTTAATGGGGTGGATATTAATTCCCGTCCCCATTCCCTTATAATTTTTCTCCATTCTCCATTCCCCATATGTACTACCCTCCCCATTTCCTAATGGGTTTGGATTTTCCCCAACCTAACTTGACCTTTTTTTTTTTTTTAAAGATTTATAACCAAAGCTGAATATACATTCAATCTTATTTTATTTTATTTGGTTCAACAACAAAATCAAATACACATTAATTAACATTGTCCCACTTTAGGTTGTTTTTAGGTTGGTTGTTCTTGCTTGTATAGTTGGGGTTAGGGCTTGGGGATGCCCCTTATATTTGTGTTTATCTTCTGTTTTTATTTATGACTTATTCACCTAAAAAAAGAACATTGTCCCATTATTCTTGTCAAATTTATGTATATTTAGAATTTTTTAAATTTATTTAGAAAAATTCTATTCCTACAAAAAAATTCTATTTTCATTTTTAATTTTATGTATCTCCTACTCGTCTTTATTAATTGATCTTCGATAAGCTGAAGGTGAGTTGTTACTTTCATTTCCATCTTTTCCTTCTTCTTCTTTTTTTTTAAATTTTTATTTGCATTTATAGAATGACTTTTCTGATTTCAATATCTTTTGCAATTGTTTTATTGAATTTTTCTCTGATTTGATGGTAACCTTAGATTGAATTTCTCAATTTTCATCTTAACTAGTGATCACTTTAATTGAAGTTTTGTCTTCACTTTCCGTGTTTTGATTATGATTAATTACGTATTTTTTGATCTATAGTCACAATTTTATTGTCGCTAAATTGTTACCATTACAAATCGTGGTTGGTGTAGTGAGAATTCTAAATAGAATAGTCAAAGCTAACACATCCAGTATCAGCTGAAGTCATGTCAACAGTGGGTACTTTAGCAATCCATTTGGAAGACTATTGAACTGTTTCTGCAGACATGTCAAATCTCTTAGAGCCAAACACTTCAATGTAAATACAATCTGACTCTACTGATAGACCTGAAGAAGAGTTGATTACGGTCGAAGGTGGTGGATCAGTGCCAAAAGAAATAGTTAAGGTTGAATGTCACATTGAAAAAAAAAATTAAAACAATCAAACAACTTAAGTATAAAAAATAATAATAATTTAAAGACTACACTGAAAACGAAACCAAAATTGAAAGATCATTTATTGCAAACGTTCACTTTGTGCATCTATAACACACGTTCATTTTGTGCATCTATCGCACACCTCTCTGTTTTATCACGGGATGCGTGAAGCACGAGCCCGAGCAGTTTCTCTTGTATCTCAGGACGCGCAAAGTGTGGCCCTGGGCGTGTTTCATCTTGGGACGCGTGAAGCGCAAGTTCGAGCGATTTTTCTTGTATGTCAGGACGCGTGACTCGTGGCCCTGGGTGTGTTTCATCTCGAGACACATGAAGCGCGAGCCCGAGTGGCTTTTCTTGTATCTCAGGATGCGTGAAGTGTGGCCTCGGGTGTGTTTCATCTCGGGACGCGTGAAGTGTGAGCCCGAGCGATTTTTCTTGTATCTCAGGTGCGTGACGCGTAGCCTTGGGCGTGTTTTATCTCGGGACGCGTGAAGCATGGCCCTTGGTATATTTTTATCTCGGGAAGTGTGAAGCCCAAGCCCAAGCGGTTTTTCTAGTTTCTCGAGACGCGTAAAGCATGAGCCTGAGCAATTTTTCTTTCATCTCGGGATACGTAAAGCGTAAGCCCAAGCGATTTTTCTTGTATCTCAAGACGTGTGAAGCGTGGCCTTAGGTGTGTGTCATTTCGGGATGCGTGAAGCGTGAGCCTGAGCAGTTTCTCTTGTATCTCAGAATGCGTGAAGCATGGCCCTGGGCATGTTATATCTCGGGACGCGTGAAGCGCGAGCTCGAGCAATTTTTCTTTTATCTCAGAACGCATGAAGTGCGAGCCCGAGCGATTTCTCTTGTATCTCAGAACACGTGATACATGGCCCCAGACAGTTTTGCTTTTATCTCGAGACGTGGGAAGTGCGACCTTGAGCAGTTTTTATCTCGGGACGTGTGAAACACGACCCTAAGCAGTTTTCCTTTATCAATTTCTCAGGATACGTGAAACGCAACCCTGAGTGGTGTTTTCTTTCCTCGTCTCTTGTTTTGGCGTGGTCAAAGTGTGTTTTATATCTTTTTGCATGGAACCTGTGTTGGTTTTAAGCTTGAAGTTGCTCATTCATATGCTATTATCTTATTTTTGCTTATTGCATTCTTGCTTATTGAAACATCTTGCATGATCATGAGTTTTCAAAATAGCCGACTTCGCGAAGCGTATGAGTCCAGCTTTCGAAGTCATTGTGCATGTCATTTTGAATCTTGCCCCAGAACTACGCTTGTTTGATTCCTTGCAAAGGGATATGTAGGCAGCCTACAGGCGTAACTATTTCTATCTGTCTTGATTGTTTGTCCAAGTCTTATGGCCTTATCAAAATGGGTCGTCTTCGGGCTTTGATATTCAGTCACGTCATTTTATGACTCTGAGTTCTGTCAAAGAGGGGCAAGTGTAGACACCCCATTTTTAACAGTCCTTATGACTTGGACGTCATCTCTTGCACACCCAATGATGAGTGTATATGCTTGCCAAGTGCTCGAAGTCCTTAACGGAATACCACAGCTTTGAGCCTTTCAAACCCTATACCCTTGCTGCCTTATTTTGGACTAAACCCAGAGATCTTCAAGCCTGCAACCTCTGGTGGCCTGCCGGCCATTTCTAGGGGATGCCGACCATCACTCTTGGCTGCCGGCCACTAATGTGGCCTACCGGCCACCAGTGATGGCTGGCCAGCCACCAATGTGTTTTGCAGATATTTTGTGACAACTGTGCCAGCTATTTGTACGGATGCTTGCCTCTACTCCCACGTGTATGGCTAGATGTTTATGAAGGAGGTCCATGTTTTTCTATACATAGAGGGCCTCCCCTTTTGCTTTGGGGTTTGAAAAATTTTGGCGCAAAATTTTTCCTCTCTCTCTACAATTCTCTCTCTCTTACAAATTTCTTAACCTTTGCCTATACACTCTTTACCTTTGCCTATGCACCCTTAACCAAACCTCTCCATCTTTGAGATGAGGTATCTTTGAGCCTTGTTTGAGCTCTTGAGGGTGTGTTTGCATTGTTTTATTGCTTGAAAGCGATCTCCTCTTCAAGAGATATAAAGTTTTGCCTCTTTAGTTGCTTTAATCTCTCTTTTTCTTACTATTTTCCAACTATTTTTGGGTTGTAAAAACTCTATATTTTTGGGCTGAAACTTGGGTTTTAAGGTCAATAAAGGTTAAAGGGTGGTTCACCATTCTTTACACCTTGTTCTCAAGGCCTTTACCCTTGTGTTTCCCACCTTTGCACTATCTTTTTTTGAGCTTTTAAACACTGATTTTTAGAGTTATTTCAGTGACTAAAATCATGTTTTGAAGTCCAAAATTGGAGGGGTTAGCCTCTCTTTCTTTTGTCTTGCTTATTAGCCTAGCATGTGCTTTGTTTTAACTTATTAATTTTGCTATTTTTGTCTTAATTCCAGTATGTTTTAGGACTTATTTAGGATTGTTTCTAAGTGCTTGTTGCATCTGAGCTTTGTTTTGCATCCTTGTAGTGTAATTGTCCTCATAAGCTTGGTGTTTTAGGCCTTAGACACCATCTTATTTGAGTTGATTACATTTATTTTTGGTTTTCCATACTTGTGATCACTCTTAATCACCTCTACAACCTCCCTCATTTCTTGGCTTTTTTTTTTTTCTTTGAAAGTGGTTTCAAACTACTTGTTTGTTTAAGCATGAGATTGAGCTGTCATGCTTAATGGTTTAATCCCTTTGGAGGTTCATTACCAATGGTATGATGTCTCTTTTATGCCTAAAGCAACTCTTGGTTTGAGCCCTCTTTCCATTAGAGGACTTAAATTCACCTTTTGGACTCAATTGATTAAAGAATGGATGGTAATCTAAATGAAGTAATAAAATTGAGGCTAAAAAAGGTACGAGATAATAGCTTGTTTAGGTTCAATCGGACGTTAATTGAACCCTTGAGTCGTTTCATACTCATTAGTGATGAAAACAGTTCAAGATTCATTGTCAACTACTTCCCTCGATCTTTCATGATAGAGAAGTGGTTTTGAGAGTATTGTTTTGTTGCATTCAATGAATTTGCACACTTTGGTTCATAAGCCATCATGCAATGAAATTGCATCCATTATTGGTTTGTGAATCAAACCTACTACTCCTTTGAGCTGTTCAAATGATAAGGAGGGGTGAATTGTACAAACAACCCCTTGAGAATACACTATCTCTGCTCTATTTGCTCTTTGTTGCAGCAGGGAAGTTCAGTCAGCAGTGGCCGACAGGCCATCATCAGTGGACGGCAGGCCCTCTGCCGACACCAGTGCAAAATCAAGCAGCGTTCTCTTGAAGTGGAACAGAGTTGATCTAGATATGGAAATCAGTGCAAGTGTTCTACTGTGCAACATAGGCATTCAGCAGCCAAAACAATGGCTTTTTCGGGTGGAAACCACATTCATGTATCAGCCTTCCATTGATCTTCGGGATCTGTTTTGTATATATTAGTGTTGTGATTCAAATACTGACTTTGTAATTAATTAGTTAGAATAACTAATTCGTCTCTTGTCGTAATTATTTTAATTAGCTAGATTAGTTAAGTAATTACTTCATTAGGTTTGTAATAATTAGTTAAGTAGTTTAGCTAAATTAGTTTGTTTTGTAATAATTAGCTTAGCTTTAATTTGTTAGCTAGTTAGCTAGTTTATTCATTCGGA